AACATCTGACCCTCCTCAGCCTGGTCCAGGGGATGGGTGACAGCAGGACATGGGATGCCTCAGGGTGGGCAAGGGGAACTGGCTCACCCAGCAACTGGGTGTTAAGGCATAAGTTTCCCCAGGAGATGCACAGGGAGGAGAAATGACTTTATAAAGCATTAACTGGGCCCTGGTTCCAGCTGGCAGTAGGAAAGGAAGGTCAAGACCATCAGAAACATCGGCTTCTTCCCAGGTCTGTGGGGCAAGGGGCCGAGGGCGGGTGTGAGGCTGGGTTTGGGGGAAGGAGAGCAGCTCAGCACCTGGTTATAGCAACTCAACTGGGTGATGACGGCAGGATCACCAGACAGAGATGCCCAAGAAACAAGCTGAGAGGTGAAATCAGATGGAGGGAGATATATTAGGAACAGACAGGCAGATTTACACATCGTGAGTGAGGAGGTGACAAACAGGTCTGTGGGATGGGAATCAAACTCTCACAACGAGGGCGTGGAGTGCGATGAGGAATGGTGGAGAGGGAAGACCCTCCCGGGACTCCGGCTGGTAGGAGGACATGCTGGAAGAGATGCTGGAGGTGGAGGGAAGGCAGAGGGGCCACCAGTGACCGGAGAGCAGGGGCCAAGCAGATCAGGGACAGACAAGCACCGTGTTCAGTGACAGAGCCAGACGCAAAGGGCAAGTTTCACTACAGTTGTATCTACATTTAGGTTGCCAAAAATACCTTTCACAGATTGGCTGTCTTTAATTAAAAGGATGTCTCCTGTGCTCCTGGCATGATGCAGAGCTCGCCCTGCCATACAGGGCTCTGCGTGGACGCTCTGCGGGGGGGCTTTCCCATGGGGTGGCTTCTCTCTGCCCACGCCCTCCTGCGCCCTGCCAGCACTGGGCAGGTCAGGCAGCGGTGCTTCCCCTAAATGCCCCTACACAGCACAGGCACAGAGGAAAGGAGGAAAACTTCACCCCCTTCCTGTTTTGGCTTCTCCCCTTCCCTCCAAACACAGAGAACGCCTTCCTCCTCTCTCCTCCTCCACCTTTCAGTGCAAAGATTTAGCTAATTTCTTCTATGAATAGCACAGGAGTAGCCATAGCAACATCACCCTGCCAACCTCACCACCTCCACTGCCTCCGTGTCCCCGGCACCCTGTTCCTCTCACCCTCCCTCGCACCTCCCCAGGGAACATCTGGGGCTTCAGCCATTTCCCACGAAGCAACCCGCGTTTGGCTTCCCACCTGCCCCATTGGCTTTCTCCCTCCTTCCTTCCAGCCATGCCTGCCTGTCGCTCAGAAACCCAGCCTGGACCCACCACGGCCTCCCCAAGCTCTTTCCTCCTCCCTGCCCCCCCATGCCCCAAGAGTCAGGACCCCCAAATCCAGCAGCATCCAAAGGCTCGGCAAAGGCTGGTGCTTCCACCAAGACATGCTGCCCTGTGTCCACCTACTCCAGGTAATTCCCTAGTGCACGGGAGGAACTATAACAAGCAATGTTTGTGCGTGGAAAAACACCACCTTCAGTGAAATACTCACTGCTGAAGACAGGCAGGGAGGACCTGTCCCCTTCTTCCACCTGCTTGGCCATGAAACGCTTCTCCTGGGGGGGCTGCACAAGCCCAGCATGCTCTGGGCACTTGCAGGTGGTCAGGGACTCATTGTGATGCTGGTCTAACCCCCTCTGCATCCTCCTGACTCCCCAAGAGGGAGAAAGGGGGCACAGGAAGGGGGGACAGCAGGACAACACATTTCTGGCCAAGCAGAACCAGCCAACGTGGGGCAGCCCCAGGGGCGAAGGGCACTTCCAAACCACATACCTGGGAACTGCACTGCCCCGGGCTTCTTCTCCAGCCACCCCAAATGCACATGAAAACACTGGCGAGACCCTTGGGACCCTCATGGGGGGCCCCACTCTGGCCACCGTGCCTGGCACCAGGGACCTCGGGGTGAACTAAGCCACAGGGCTAGACTTTCCCCGTGGGAGGGAAAGGTGCTGGCTGCTGCTGGATCCTCAGCGCAGGGAGCAGCGCTGGAGAAGGGGCTCAGGCACGGCCAGGCAGCTCAGCACTCCTCTCCTGAGAGCCCGTGGGCGTCACTGTGCAGGGGAGAGGAGGGGGTTGAGCGCTCTGCTCCTCTAGTGCTGCGCATCAGGGATGCTTCCCTGGATCGTGCTGCCATTCCTCCCCCAAAGCCGGGAGTCCTCCTCTCACCCCAGTCTGGCAGGGGAGGACTCGAGTCCTCCACCAGCAAGCAATGGGGGATGGGGAGGGCGCAGGGCCAGCCGGAGGAACAGTGATGGGAACAATGGAGGACAGAAGTGACAACAAGTGCAGGGAACGGGCGCTAACGAACAGGGAACATGGATAGATAAGGGAGAAGAAATGGAAGAGATCTCAAAGGGGAGAAGAAAAGCAAAGCAAAAAGAAATGAGAAACCCAGAGCTCAGAGATTTCCTCCCTCCCTATGGTCTGGATTAGGGGTTCTCAGTTACTGGCGTTGCCTGAGCAAGCTAATTTGTGTCCTAGAGAAGGGGATAGGCAAGAGAAGAGAACTGACAGGGCACCGCAGTTGGGAGGAGGTACAGGTTGATGTTGGGACCATGCCATGTGTCGGGCAGCACGTGTGGGCATGTCTCACATGCCACGGAGCTGCACACAGGGTCTGCGAGTACGTGTGATGTCAGAGAACATACACCACCATATACAGCTGTGAGCACATTTCCGATGTCAGAGCATCGACACATGGCAGCCACACCAGCACATGCAGGTGGTGCACGCTCTCCTTTGCTTGTGTGAAGCAGCAAGGGGAGTAAAAAGGCTTAAATGAGAGGTGGTGAAGCTCCTCAAGAGGTGAACAGATCCCTGCTTTCCCGGGGAAGCCTCCTGGCCTGCACACCCCTTCCCACCTCTGCTGCTGGAAGTGCTTCCAGGGACAGGGAGCTCATTTAAAGGGGCAGCCCTGCCTCTAGCCGAGGCTCTCGAGGACACAGAGGCTGCCTCCTCAGCTCCTGTGAAGGAGACTAGCTTCACACCCACAGCATCCAGCCAAATCTACTCAAAGTCCACCATCTCCCAGCCTCCCAGAGCCAAACCCATCTGCCTGGGCACAAGCCATGCCCAGCTGTTTCCATTATACCACGTTTCGTCCCTCTGCCCACCACTGGGCTGGGAAGAACATGGATTCCTGACGGTTCAGTCCCTTTGCACCCTCGGATCAGAAGGTGAGCACTGCTGAAGTATTTGATGCAAAGCTTTACTCATTGCATACATTTGCTACACACCACGGAGCAATCCTGCCTGCTCTGATACAGGCAGTGCACATACAACACATGTCATATTCTACATGTGGACCCCGTTATGCTCATGTAGCCTCACACACTGGCATCCTCTGTTGCTTGCAATGCCGCGAGAAGATTTTGATTCCCCCCCCCCCATCTTCAGAAAGGCTAAGGCTGAGCAGAGACTCCCAATGTGGACTTTCAGAGCAGCCCAAGCCCTGGGGCTTCATGGCAGCACCACAAAGACACAATGATTTCTCTTCCACCGTTGTAAAAAACGTAAAAGGCTCCCCTGCCCAGCCTGCCACGGCAGCAATGCAGCTGGCATCGCTTCCTTCCCAGCCTGCTTGCAATCGTCTTATCAGGAACCCTGGGCTGAACCTTTCATGCAAGTAGGAGTGGAAAGGAGGGAGCAGACATGCTTCAATTCCCTGCTCCTACCCAGCTCCCCGAGCTTGCTGCTCTGAATGCAGGGAAGGAAAGAGATAGCAAAGGAAAGATGGGAGAATGCTTGCCAGGAATCAGCAGGCGAGAGAGAGCCGAGGCTGATTTTGATGCAAAGAGTGGCGGAGAAAGAGACAGAAAGCAGGACCAGGCTAATAGCAAGGTGGCTGGGTTTTTGGGTCCTTTCTGTAAACATCATCTGAGCGTATCAGCTTTGAATCTAATTATTTCAACCAGAGCCACAGACTGAGATAGTAATGAAGAAAAAATGGGAAGGGAAGAAGAGGGTTGTGTTTTCCGAGGGGAAAGGAGGAGAGAATTCCCATTGATTCCCATGTGTCTGCCTGCTACAGTGCCTTGAAATAATAATTAGAAGGATCAATAAGAAATCATGTGAGGTTTGGAGATAATGAATGAAAGAGGCAGAAGAAGCAAATTGAAATGCCTTTCTCTAAAGCAGGGTAAATTGTTTTTCAGGCAGGGTCTAGCCTCCATTTTAATGCTTTGCAAACAGATCCAACCATTTTCTAAGCTGGCTTGTGGGTTCAAAACAAGACTGGTCTCTCCATTCAGGGGAGAAAGAGAGAGACAGCCTGAGAATGGGTCCTGGAGGAGAACACTAACAAAATGAATGTGTGTGGGAAGAAATGGAAGCAGTGAAATGGGGCAGAATGCACACAGCATGCCAGCAACCAGAGCAGGGTTACGTAATAATTTGGGGGAGCAGGGACATAGCAGCAGAGCAAGGAAACCACAACTCAAGGGAGAGTGGGTGCCAGTTGGGGAACGCTGGCAAGTGGCACCGCGAGCCCACGAGGCTGCCCGGCAGGCAGCGTGCCCCACGCCTGCTGAACACAGTATGATGGGATGCCCTCAACACTGCTGGGGCTTCAGGCAACAGCATCGTAAGTGGCGAGGAGCTCGGGTGGGGTGTCTGAAAAACATCACGCCTGACGCCTGCCTTGTGTCGAGCAAGACCCAGCTGGCCCCGGGGAGGCTGCTCCGCTGCAGAGCTCCTGCCCTGGGCAAGACCACGGCACCCAGCCCGAGCAACGGCAATGCCAACCTGAGCGACGCCGGCGGCCAGCCCGAGCGACGATGATGGCCAACCGCAACGACGCTGGCGTCCAGCCCCAGCAACGCCAGCGTCCGCCCCGGCCGCCCGTGACGCCCCAGGGGTGACGCTGCACCCTGCCACGACCCCGCCGCTCTCCCTGGGTTACCCCCCGTCAGCCACGAGCCCGGTCCCACCCCATCCCGCACCGGGGAGCCGCTGCCCGGGGCTGGCCCGTACCTGCTCGTACCAGTCGCGGCTCGAACACGTGCACTCGGGCCACCAGCCCGGGCCGCTCCCGTTCACCTTGGGCGCGCTCTTCCCCGGCGGCGGCGGCTTCAACGCGGCGGGGTCGCGGGCGGGGGGCCCCAGCTTGGCCTTGCCGCGGGCAGCGGGCGCGGCCCCCCCGGGCGCGGGCAGGGTCTGCGAGCCGTAGCCGCCGTAGCCGTACTGCTCGTGCTGCCACTCGCCGTAGGAGGGGGGCTCCATGCGCCGCAGGGCCGCCATCCGCGTCACCTCGTAGCACTCGGGGCACTTGCAGCAGTGGTGGTGCTTGTGCATCGCTGCCCTCACACCATAGAGCCGGCAGGGAGGGAGGGAGGGAGGCGGCGCGGAGGGAGGGAGGGATGCTCGGGGGGCGGCAGCAGCCCCCGCCCCGCGCAAGGC